GAACCGGCTCTTCAGGTTGTTTTGTTGCTTTAATTAATTTATTATTAACAATAATATAAAATTATGCACAAAAGGAATTACTAATGTAAAAAAAGTGGTTTTATATATGTTTATATATAAATATTTACGGTGGCCCCTAGAGACAAAACACGTACAAACTCCAAAACACTTTTGTAAATAGCAGTGAAATTAAAGACTATTAATAATTCAAAATACAAAGCACAGGGTCACCCACACAGGACATACCTCTATAAATCTATAACATGGTATAAACAGATTTTTTACTGCTTAAACACATTTATTTAAAACATTAATTATATCCATTTTAAACAAAGACACTAAAGCGTCTGTGTGCTGAGACCTCGTGGAGCACAAACAGCTTTCATGATTAAGCTGATTTATGAAAGCTCTCTGCGCCTGCAGCCATCATAGTGCAGAGAAACTACTCTGTTTGTTTGGGTTACAATGGAAATGTATTATTATTATTACAAAAGGAAAATACATTTCCCATGAGGCCTTTTGCATTCACACATTCATGTGGGGCTGGCTCAGTGTCAGCAACGAGGTTTGATCCGTTTGGCCTGGCAGCAGGTTTTAGGGATGCACAAAGGGTCTCCCTGCACCAAATACAGGTTGGTTACATAATTACCACATTAATAAAGTATTCTGATTCTGAAGAAATAACACAAATAAATTATTTTCTGTTAGAAATAAAGCTAACTAACGTTAGGAAACTCAAGCAGTTTCTTTCATGTGGACTTTGTTATGAGCTGCCTCTTTCTTTTTTTTTTTAAACAAACTTCACACTTCAGTCCTACAGTCTTACCGCTCAGCATCCGCTACAGCAGGAGCACAAAATATTTCAAAAGGCAAATTACAGCAAGTCGTAAAATAAATGAGGGAAAAAGAATACATTATGTGAATGTATGAAAAACAGGGAAACAGAAGTCACGGAGAAAAAAGAAACCAATATTCAAAAACATAAAGATGAGACCATAAAAGAAGTCAAAGACAGCTCCAAAGATCATGATGCAAATCAACAATTACAGACTGTAAAGTAGTCAGAGTCACATCTCATTGAATATACAATTAATTTTCAGTTTGCCTGTTATCCATCTATTTTTGACACCTTCTGGGTCTGAGACGTGGAGTGGGCAGGAGTCCAAGCAGAGATCTACAGACCTTCCTTTCCCTGAGTAGCTCCTCTAGCTCTTCAAGAAGGACAGAAAGACATTTCTAAGCTAGCCAAAGGCTTCAAGCCTCGTCCTAGTCAGTTCTGCAGAAGCTCCTAAGTCGGTGCCTTTCAATGTGGAGGGATGGCTCAAATTTGAATCCCTCTTTAAACACTGAGATCCTTCCCTTATAATATCGCTGGAGACAAATCCATCTGTCAGTCTCCTGCTCCACTCTGACCTCACTCGTGACCAACACCCCAAGAGAAGCTCCACCTCCTCTTAGGGTAGCATCTTAATCTTTCATCGTTTTCCAACTGAAAGCCGTCAACTCA